GCAGATATTAAAGCAACACTAAGTAAGATTGTGTACCTTAAAATAATGTTTCCAAAATGGATTCGCTTTGCGGTCCTATATCTGCTATGTAAGATTGCCAGATTGGGTCGCGTTTCTGTAGTTCTAATGAGACATGAGAAAACTACAAATTTGACTTGCTTTACGTCAAGCGTTACAATCGTCATTACTTTGTTTTTCTTTGTTTGATGTCGCAATACATCATACTTTCATGAAATCATGCAACATACTCTACCTTGTCTGTGGACATCGTTGATTCCAAAGCCGGCGCTGGATAAACAGCGAGCGTGTGTGCGACAGTAGCTGCGGTAGGATAAATTATTTACCACAGCGGTAATGGACAATTCCGCTTCCCACCTGTAGGGCGACCGCAGAGGAAAAGTCACTTGGTGTTGCTTTAAGCAAACAGTCTACTGTTTAAAAGGGACCATCAAAATAAAGTGTTACTGATTACACTTTATTTCAATAGTCCACTTTAGAGATTATACACTATAAGTAACTTGGCAACTATGTCAACTAACTCTCATTAGAGTATTAGTAGATTGTTAGTTTAGGGATCGGGTTAGTTGAATAAGCTGACATGTTGTTGCAAAGTTACTTATAGTCGGTAGAATATCTTTTGAGGAGTATACAAATAAAGTGTAAGCAGATATTATTAAGCAGACAGTCTACGGATTATTTAATGAGGGTTTGTAGACATGTAGCTGCAAAGTTACTTATAGTTAGTAGAATGTGGGCAATCGAAATAAAGTGTTACCCCCAAAATGTTTTTGTTTTTTTCAGTCAGAAATATCCACTTTAGCAGCACTTACATACACCTTACAATTATATTCCCTCATATAGTCTAAGGTTTTTACAGTGAGATTTACATATGGGAATATTTCACCTGAGGCCTAAATTATCAATAATCTGTGTTCACTGTTTTATCCAGATTTCTGTTCTACAAAGGTATGCATATTTAATTAGACAACCGCTAATTTGCATATTCAAACATATTAAAACTTGTAATAGAAAACCAATTGGGTAATGTTTCCTTTTACAGTACAGTATTACGTGTACTTACAGTGTACTTACCTAGAAAGTACTGGCTAATATTAAGTAAGTACATGGGTTAGGGGTAGGTTCAGGGTTAGTACCTAGTTATTACCCAGTAATTGCAATTACTATAATAAGTTCATAGTATGTACATGGGTAACAGGACTGTAAAAGGAAGCGTTACCAACAATTGTCAGTAACTCTTTATTTTAGGATGACATGTTACTACATTTACTTACTACAGTATATAACAGTATAACCCTAAGCCTAACTCTAGTACATGTAGTTAATTAATATTACCCAGTACTTATTTGAGTAAGTACAATGTAACTACGTCACCTTAAAATAAAGTGTAACCTAATTGTCTTGTTTAATCAACTGGAAAAAGCAAGTGTTGTCAAAAAGAGACCTGGAGTAAAAATGTTACCCGCCAATGACGGTCATTTCCAAATGTGAAAGAAAGAAAGAAGTAACTACATATACACAGAGTATTCTGGAATATGATACATCTCCAAATAGAAAATGCTGAATATCTGACCACCATGACGGACTAAGAAAAGTCCTGACTAATTCTCAACTCAAAACATGGACATTTCCAGATCTAATTACCAAAAAGGCTATGGTCTAGTGCACACAAAATAACTGTAAAATCACTTCTTGACCTGTGCTCTGATTATGCTTATACCATGGTCTGGGTGAATACTCGATTCTGATTGGCTGCAGGGTGTCCGTTAAAAAGTGATAGAGGACACCTAGTAAAGGAGTTCTGGTGAAACTGCCTGTTTACCGTTCGAAATTAATAAATAAATGCGCTGCCTACAACAGCTGTGACTGAGTAGCCTAACCATAGCAACAGGCAGTCAAAGTATCCGTTAACAATTTGCTCTATCAAAACAAACATCTAACGTCAGTTAGATATTACATAGCCTACTAATACAACAATGAGCGACTTCGTTATTTCATCTTCAGTCTCTCACGGACTGACGGAGCAAGCCCGCAGACTGCTCTCGCATCGATGGCCTGGCTGTCACCGACATTATTTGACGGCTCTCCAGTCCAGCATCGGAGAGTCGACCTACAGCGGTGCTTCGGAGGCTGTGGTTAGTGTAGACTCGTGTAACACATAGTGTTTTATGTGTAATAAAAAATAACTATGCCTACCTTTGTGTTTCATGAAAAAAAATGCATTTTTGAACCTGAAGGGTTCTACAAGTTGAGCGGACTATATATCTCAAGTTGCTAAATAAATCGTCAGGCAAGTTATTATTTAAAAAAACTAGATTTAGCCTAATTAAAATATAAACTAATGTTTTAAAAATGTTTTATTTGGCAAGTGACCATGGTATAAGCGGGTTAATGCCCTTCGAGGTGTCCGTTGTAAGATTTTAATGGACTTCGGCGGAGGCAACCGTCCTCCGCTGCGCGTCGGCCGGTTTACACCTCGCCGTCGTCCATTAAAACCTTACAACGGACACCTCGTCGGGCATTAACCCTTACATAATCACCATAATCAGTGAAGAGTTGAATTGAAACATTAGCATGCATTTCAAATGGTCTAGTTAGTATCTGGTTTGTATGGCCCAGAAATCCAAAATATTTTATATATTTTATGTCAAAGTTTCTTTGCTTTGCATTGCTCGACATTTTAAAACTCCCTAAAATGGTTAATTTCTGAGATTTTATAGCCTCGTTTTTGTGCGATTTTTTTTATGCTTTGGCATTAATAACCCATATTTATACAGTCAAGAAAGCTTCTTTGGATCTTAATGGAGGACAAACAATGAAAGGGAGAAGAGACGGCTCTTGCCATTTGTAAGTTACTGTACAGTGTGAATGGACTCATTGTGCCAGCTTCAGATCTTACGTCAGTGGGCTTTATTTAGGGTCTTCTTTGCACACATGATCAACCACAAATGAAGAAATTCCCTGTCCCCTTCCTCAGAAGAGATCGCAGCTCATAAAAAAAGCCCTGCGTGACGGCCAAAGATGCAGCACGCAAATCTTGAGTGTGAGAATCAAAGGTAACACCCTGTCTTTCCGTGATGTGAATGCTTTTGCTTGATAAAACACTGCAGCTGCGGTATGTATGATGATTAGCAATGAAAGAAAAGAGCAGCTCATTTAACCAAGACTCATAATAAACGAAACCACAAACCTGCCGCAAAGCCTGCAGAGCACTGCACAGAGAGAGAGAGAGAGAGAGAGAGAGAGAGAGAGAGAGAGAGAGAGAGAGAGAGAGAGAGAGAGAGAGAGAGAGAGGTGATTATCTGCATGCGTTAGCAACTTCATACCTGTGTTTGTGAGAGTTATCGGTTGATATGGGTGTGTCTTCTTTCGTGCTACTTTTGATTCAGCATAATTGCAAATAGATTCATTTTGGAATGAATAACGAAGCAGCACAAGGATCATTTTCTCCACATATATTTTTAATAACATAACAATTTAAAGTACAATAAGAAATAGAAGCTACTGTATATAAAACTCTCCAGCGGAACATAATGATGGGCCAGCATCAGCCTTATCTATACAGAACTGTATAAGCAGACAGGTCTTTAAATTCCTTAAATTCAACTTTTTTTTTTTTTCTTTTTTTTTTCATATAAAAGAAAAAAAAAATCGCTACATTTTGTCCTGCGCTACCTCTTTTTTTTTTTCACGAAAGCACCAGCTGTCTGCATCTCATATTTCAAAGTTTATAAAATATAAATTATTGAAAAATATCAAAATGTTTGTGAACTAAATACATTAAAATTCTCATTTTAACAAAAAAAAAAAAAAATACAGAAATATAAAATATACAAAATAAGGCAAAATTGTGGGGAAATAAAAACAACACTCAGTATGTATGCATCTGTCAAAAGTGTTGATTTACACACAAATGCATCACTTTTTACAATCAGGACAAAGACTGCATTATGATCTGAACCTTATTAAAATAAGACTTGTTTCCATGGAACATGTCGCTGGCTTTCGGTGTGGTTTAAGAATATGTAGCATCACTGTGGGCTTTGACAAAAAAAAAAAAAAAAAAATCACGCTTTCTTCTGTCAGAACATGTTCTCTTGTTATTTCAGTGAGACTTTTAAGCTTGTTCAGGGGATGCACCACTTGTGTTGTTGTTCATGGTAGGACGGTGTGTCTAAAACGAGCTTAAATTCTGAGCTCTGAGCTTGCGAATATGCTTTATTTTTCAATCTAGCAATTGTATGAAATGTTATCTGTAAAAATAGACGACTCCAAATCTCCACCAATCAGGATGGGTAGCATCTGCCTCTGTAAACAATACGATTTGTTTTCTTAGAAGAACCTTCTTGACTTTGGCTTTTCCCACAAGGTCTTGTGTACGAGACGAGACCCTTCCCACACAGTGAAACAGTCGAAATGCTGCGCTGAAGACGGCATAAAATGATTTAAAGTACTGAAAATACTGGTACTTGCATTTGTACAGTGTCAAGTTTGCACATTTTGATGAGCAATTTCTCCAAATAACTACATTTAAAGTTCATTATTCATTTCATGGACACTGCAATGTAACTCTGGCTTAAGTCCCAACCAGCGATGACTAAAACAGTTCAATGACTATAATACTGCATTTAAAAACCATTACGAAACGTACTCCCATTTTCGATCTTGTGATATTTGGTAGCCGGTTGTAGCACACGCAATCATCTTTAAAGCTGCCGAAAGCATCAGCATGATCTGGTGGTCCTCCTATCTTAACATTATATCCGCCACTACCAGTAACAGACACTTTCACAAACCATCTGGAAAATAAAATCTTTCTTTCTTTGCCGCTGCAAAATCCATCTCACGTACTTTGACGATCCAGATGCATGCTGAAGTGTGCACTTTTCAACATGGCTAAAGCGCACAAGACAAGGTTAAAACACCTCGCATGGCGCGTTCTCAAACGTCTCGGGTTTATGGCTTTCGGTTCAGTTCAAACCGTTTGATAGCGAAGAGGCCCGGTTGGATGACATTTCAGTCGTCACCTTCCGACGCACGTTTCAGTTTACCTCGAGAAGACACAGTAAGTTCATAAACACGGTGTGCTATTTTAAGGCAAGACTTTATGAAAAAAAATATTCACGTACAAACAAAGCCAAGGCAAGAAATGTTAGATGTCTTTTGTCCTAATACAAGTGATGAACTGACACCAGCGGTGTCAAACACACACTCTTTCTCCCCACAAACGTGTGCGTGTGCTGCGACTGTCACCGTTGAGAAGCCAACGGCCGCTTTCATATGCGTCTCTCAGTTTGACTGAGGTGCGTCTCTTTCAACTGAAAAGGGCGAGACTCTGGTATCTATTTTGATCTGGTGATCAAAAACAGCGTTTTCAGCTATGGACATTGTGGTAAGAGCAACCCATATAACCGAACGCGACCTTAAAAGAAGCAGAGAGAATCTCTAAGCACAGTTTCACTTCAATAAACCTTCATCTTCTGCATATGAAAAATGTACAAAAAAACGGTGCAATCTCTGTCCGGACAGCATCTCAAAACGATCGGTCTCTCCACAAATTAATACTGACACATAGATCTTTAAGAAACAATAAAAAATGAAAACAATTTGGTCCGGCTGAGAACTCACTTCCTCCTGGTGGGAATGCAAGGAGACAGAAACAGTAAGAAACTTAATTGTAAATATTTCTGCCATATTCCTCTCGTCTCTAATTTTGGCAATGCGTGTAATAACAGGAGCATTCAGTCCAAGAAATGTCCATCTCTTTGTCTTCTGTTCCTTCCCGGTGTTTGTGCTACAAAACGGCAGTTCTACCTGAACTTCGAGTGTTCCCTTCCCCGCAGAACTATAAACAAAATAGGCGCACAAAGTCTACAGATTCTAAACTTTGGTAAATGTTTTGATGCTTCCTTTTTTTTGTCCCGTATGAGCTCAAAACAAGACTGGACCACGACTAAGTGTTAAGATGCAATGTGATTGGACCCGAAAATGGACGACCCGTTTTGTTTTCTTTCCAGGATCTGTAAAGGACTTTTTCAGCCTCCCCCCCCCCCCCCCCCTCTTTCCAAACTTTACTCATCCGTGTCAGGCTTGACATCTAACATGGTGTGGAGCTCTTCGGGAGTGTATCCCAGTAGGCTTTTCAAGTCACACACGAAGCGGTAGACATAGCGCTTGCCGGACGTCTTGTGGATGATGTTTTTGTCATAGTAGTAGCGTAGACCACGACTCAACTTCTCGTAATTCATCTTAGGCTTGTTTTTCCTCTTGCCCCATCTACGTGCCACCTAGAGGTCAAGGAGACACGGGTCAGCATCAGAAACCCACAGAATAATCATTCGCTTGCTCATGAGATTCTGTAGTGTGTGCAACCATGCGCTTTTGCAGTGGTGGTGTAGTGATTGTATCAGATGCACTAGAGATAGACCAATAATTGGTTTTCAACTGATAAATGGCACTGTGAGGTTAGTCTCTGAAGAACAACAGTTCAAAAAACACTTACATATTAATATATGCATTTACTTAACTAGCTACAACTTTTTTGGTTCTGTATTTTGGTAATATAAGCATAAAACAAACTTGCATGTTTGGTCAACTAGATTTTAATCATGACAACTCTCGGAATAGTTTTAGCATGCTATTATTGAATATGGCCATGTTAATGTATTTGGTCTAGCAGGACTAGACCTGCTACGCTGCTGCTGTTTATTATTGCTATGCACTTGCTACTGCTAAAAAAAAAATACACAGACACATGAATACACACATAAATCCTGTAGCAGATCTAGGCAGGTGGAGCTGGGGAGGTGGAAGGGTTCAGATGAACTCATAGCACACTGTAGGACTAACTTACAGCAAACACTAAACCGAACTATTTAAATGTTGAGCAAGCGATCTCATTGGCTGCAGGATCAGCAGAGGCCAATCAGCTTGTGCCATGTACTAATGATGGGATTGCTTGCAGAGGGCATGTAAAGGATCTATCAGCCTGCGATCTATTTCAACTAACTCTCTTTATTATTATATTGAGTATCATTGAGTATCATATAATAATATTATAGTTCTTATTCATATTTTGATATATATATATATTTATTTTATTTCAGTTAAAGTTTTGGTAATTTTATAGTGTTAGTCATTTTTTTAAGTTTTATTTTTTAAATATGTCAATATAGTTTTAAGTCATCGTTAAACTAAATGGAAATGTGAATTGTTGCACTGCATACAAGCGGAAATAAGTTTTTAGGTTTTTATATATTTATTTATTTTCAGTTAATGTTTTTTTTTTATAGTTTTAGTTTTAGATTCAGTTAACGATATTAGCACGGCATAGCCCTAATTAAAAAAAATAATAATAATTAATTAAAAAAAGTTAACTTCTGAGCAAAGCTTAAAAAATATATATTTTGTACTTTTTGAATTTTTATTAATTTTTTGGAGTCTATTCTTCCCCACCTATACAGAGCATGTTGAGTAACGTTGACTATAACCCCTCACCTCATCAGGGTCGGAAAGCTTGAACTCCCAGCCGTCTCCGGTCCAGCTGATGAAGGACTGGCAGGATTTGTCCGTCAAGAGCTCCAACAGAAACTGCCAGAGTTGGATGGGTCCGCTGCCTGAATGGACAAACAACACCACAACGACTTAATACAATCCTATGGAGGATGTTCACAACAGAATGTCCATTGATCTCAAGTACCATATGCAGTATGCAACAAATCACAAAGTACCATATTATCACCATTCTAGACTCTCTTCTGATCAACTGCATTACGTATAAAAGAAATGTTAGATTTCAAATCATGGTCCAAACAGAGTTTCACATGCCATTAGCTTTATGTCACGCAGCGTGAAAACAGAGACCGGCGTGACACAATGGAGTATTGACTGGCTACTGCACCAGACCGAATGTCCTTTTTGAGCTTTGGGCTCTTTATGTGAATTCCAAACCACTGACATAATTTGGATTTGCCCCAAGGCTACATATCTGGCGGATAAATGTGTTTGATCACGCAAACCATGATGTATATGTCTGCATGTCGCCCGGGTGCATTTGAAAGCACACATGTGTGTGATGTCTACATGTGTGTGAACGGCTGTGTGGGTGTGAGAGAGAGAAGCCCTTGGCGGACATCTGCAAAACGAGAAGTTGTTCTCACAAGCTTTAACATTGCATTCGCCCCTAACTGTGATGGGGTCAACTTTAAAGACTTTAGCCTTTCTGCACGGTGACATATTTAAAGGAGACATTTGAAATATTGCAACCGTGCATCTTAATGCACTTGATTGTGAGAAGCGATTTAAGGACTAGCGTGAAGTGTTTATGTGGTCGCGTTGACCTATTGAGCGAGATCTATCCTGCAAAAGCTTCACAGCGTGTAGGCAGCAGCGGAGCAGCTCGTGTACCCGTCTAGATAAGTTTTCATCTTGTGGTTTGTGCGCATTAAAATGAACCGTCACTTCATATCACACCTGCTGCAAAACAACAGCGAAGAGAAGAGAGAGTCTAATCTCCTGCAAACATCAAGTCCTGCACTATATATTAGCACCAGATTTTTACATTTATCAGGAGGCTATCGATATTGGATATTTAATTGTGCATGCTTGCATTCAGATTACCTCTGACATAATCTCAAAATGAATATTATTTTTTCATACTGTTCACTAGAACACTAAATTCACTAGTAGCATTAACAATTATTTTATTTTTCAATTACTTAAACAGAGTATAGGATTTTAATCTCAATAATTGATCAGTTTTCGGCAATTTATTTCATCATTGAGCAGAATTTTTCAAACTGGCGCATCCCCTAATTTCTATGCATCATTTCTTTGTAAATTAGGCTTCTTTTACAAAAGTTTACACACAAGTAATGTCACATTTACCAGCGTAATTCTTTTGGTGAAGTGGGCGGTAAATCAAAAGCAACGCACATGCAAAATAAGTGGTGATAACAGCAGGCACAACTCATTCTTACTGAATTCCCCACTGCACGTTACAGCCGGCTAAAAATATCCTTGCCGATAATGCAATAAAACACTAATGCAATTCTGAAACAGATTCTCTCATCAACAATTCAACAGTTCATTCTAACCCTCTCCCTCTCTGTCTGCCAGCCTCTCTTTGTCTCCTAAACATATGAGTCCACAAAATCACTCATCTGGATCAATGCAGTAATCGGTTTATGTAGATAAATGCATTAAAACACATTCCATAAGCACAGCTACTGTAACACACCCTCATTAGACCCAAAGGAGCCGGGAATGGAAAGCAATCGGTCTGTCCTCTATACATGCCTAAACCAAACCCTCAGACTGACAGAAATCCAGCGCTGACTTTCAGCAAAGCTTTGAAAGTACATTAAGGCCACTTTGCCTGAAGTGAGAGCATGATTACAAGCGAAGACAAGGATTTCATGAAGTTGCTCTGGGAAAACAACTTGGATCTAACGCATTGGGCTTAAAGGGATAGTTCACACTAAAATAAATACGTGCGGGTGAATGTTAAGCAGAATGTTCACGCTGCATTTTTTCATTCAATAAAAGTAAATAGTGAGCTCACAAGCACAACAAAAGCACCATAAAAGTAGCAAAATACTTTTCAAAAAGGTTCCATTTGTTAACATTATGTAACTACATTAGTTAACATTGCAAAAGTATCATTAGCAAACATTAGTATTGCATTATTAAAAACAAAGGTTGCATCTGTTAATATTATTTAATGGAACGGAGCTAAGATGTACTAGCAATCAACAGTTGTGTTTTTTTAACTAACATTAACAATGATTAATAAGTACTGTAACACATGTATTGCACATAGTTAGTTAATGCAATAACTAAGGTTAACTAATGGAACCTTATTGTACCAACGTAATTATCAGTGATGCAAATCATTCATTGGTTCTTTAGTGTCTTAAAAGCATAAGTCTCGTCTATTTTTCCACACAAAGCTATCATATTGTTTTAGAAGAACTGAAATGGAGTCTGTAGTAATAAACTACTTCTATGGCACTTTTGTGGTGCATTTTCTCTCATTTTTGAAATTTGACCACCCCAGTCTCCACTTCAAAACACAGGGTGAATATTCTGCTAAAGTTCCTTCGGGGGTCAACCATTAAATTATGACAAAGTTAAAAATTTTGGGGGGTGAACTGTGCCTTTAATGTGTTCGTGTCTGTATGAGGAAGCCGCCCTATAAAGTTAAAAATCAGCCGTCGCTGAAGAAAGTGTTGCGGTGCTGTGGTTGTGTTGCTCTCCTCACAGATCTGATGGATTTGTACTTGCATATGTGATTAATGATGACAAACACGAAAACCTCAAGAGCTCTGCGAGCAAGTGGATCATTTTTGTCACTAGCTGGCTTTATCTACCTCATCTCTGAACTCTGAAGCCTGTTGTGTTGTCACTGCGGGTAACACTAGTAAAAACAGGTAGTTCAATCCATATAAAATGTTTTTTCTTTCTTTCTTGCACATACACAGAAACAAACCCAACAAAACAGCTACAAATAAATGCACAATTTACAATCTGCAGCATAAAATATCCATAACATGCCTCTTTTTTTTAGCTCGGATCAAGCATAGAGAATTCCACATGACAACCAACTCAGGTGCGTGTGAAACAGTTCTTTATAAGTTCAAAAGAACCTAAAATAGAAATGAAATGTGCCACATATAGTAAGTGGGCCCTGTGTTCTTTCTTTAGGGTAGGGGAGTGTTTTTTTTTCTACTCAGATATATGACATGAGCAGGTAGGTTTGAGACACAAGGCACAAGGTTAAAAAAGCCCCTCGAAGATGGGCCGATAAAGGAGCTCTCATCTTAAGTGCACAGGCCTGCTATCACTTTGTGCTGTTGCCAAGACGACCTGGGAAATGGGTTGAGATGTGGGCCGCAGATAAGGAGTACAAGATGAAAACAGCGGAGAAAGAAACGGAGAGCTGGTGGCAGCGACGAGAAAGAGAGAGAGAGAGAGAGAGCTTGAAGAAAGCCTGGGTGTGGCATGTTTGCTGCTTCGCAAGGTTTTTCACTGCAGCAGTTGTGCAGAGAAAGAGATTTGCGATGACATTCTTCCAGTCATGTAACAAATGTGGCTCTGCGGTCACGAAGTGCACCAATGCATCGAAACTGGTGCACAAAACTCTGCCACTGATCCAGAAGCAACTGCGTCCCAGAAAGACAACACAAAGCACCTCGATTAGCAGGAAACACACACGTACTTAATGTGATTCCAAATGCTTCCTGGTTACAGCGTTCATTTAAAAAAAAAAAAAAAATGTATTAAAGATATTTCATTTCATTTGATGTGTGCAAGTATATGGTATGGGTTCGGGTTATGATCAAATATATGGAATAACACATGGTTTAAAATAATGATATGGTACATGATACGATATATCAAATGTTTTTTTTATATGATATGGTATGTGATATGATAAATAGTATGATTTATGGTATTATATATGGAATAGCATATATGTTTTTGATATGACATGCTATGCAATATTCGATATATCAAATGGATTTTGATATGATTTGGTATGTGATATGAAATCGTATGATGTATGGTATGATATATGAAAAAAACATGGTTCTTGATATGACATGGTATGCAATATTCCATATATCATGGTTTTTGATATGATATGGTATGTGATATGAAAAATAGTATGATTTATGGTATGATAAATGAAAAAAAACATGGTTCTTGATATGACATGGTATGCAATATTCCATAAATAATGTTATTTATCAGGCTTTTGATATTATTTGGTGTGAGATATGATATATACCATTTAATGGATTATCTTTTTAAAAAAGTACTGTGGCAATACCATGGTATGGTATCAGATGGTAATATACACTGAGTCTGCGTGATCACCATTTGTGACTTTTGTACTATTTGAAGCCATGCGAGCACCGCTACATGACCAAAATAACATTGTATTGCCATGCAACATGCCTAAGAACAACGATAATACCACTGAAACATACAACACTTTTACTTATACAACTTCCATAGAGTAGTCATCTCTGTTATTGACGGCTTTGATTATGTATTTAAAACTTGGATATCTCTCTGTGTAATGCAATAAACCGGCTTGTGAGAGCCTGGTCTGGTGCTAATGCTGACCTGTGTACCCAGCGAGCGCAGCTGCCGGGATGACCGGCTTGTCCTTGCTGAGGTCCGAGCGCTCCCGCACGTAGTCTTTGAAGGTTCCCTTTGGTTTGTGTCCGTGCAGTGCAGTGGGGTAGTCCTCCGAGTCGAAGCTGTCGTACGAGGGAACTCTCTGTAAGCTGTTGAACGACGACTGACTACTCCAGGACTGCGTCAGCCGGTCACAGCTCTCGAAACTGTCGATGCTCTCGAACGAATCTTGACCTCCCAGCTTACCTGAGACGGAGATTTCAGTGTCATTAAACAATCACAAGCATTTTCCAATCTAATGCATGTTGTATGGGAAAGAGGAGCATGTGCATGCTTCAAAATATCTTCACAGAACAGTGACTTAAGACAAACTTTTCTTTTAAAGAACATGGGCCGGTAACGCTTCCTTTTACAGTCCCGTTACCCATGTACATACTACGTACTTATTATAGTAATTATAACTACTGGGTAATAACTAGAACCCTGAACCTACCCCTAACCCATGTACTTACCTTATATTAGCCAGTACTTTCTAGGTAAGTACACTGTAAGTACACGCAAGTACTGTACTGTAAAAGGAAGCGTTAAAGAATTTTTTTATTTTTTATTTTGTCAAATCAACTTGGGTAATTAATGTGGTTTAGATAACATAACATTTTGAGTTCATACAATGAAGGAGATTGGTTTAATCAAAAGAAAATCTAAATGTTAAGGCAACCAGGTAACTTACTTCAAGCTAAAGCAACAATATTTTTTACAGTTTGCACAATTGCTAAAAAGATGGCATTCCTGAACTTTAGGAACTAATAAACGAGGACCCAGGTCTTATATTTCTAACCAAAGAGAGGGTGCAAAGTTTTTAGCGAGTGCACCAGCCACAACCGGTCTAGACCCAACCACGTGGAAAAATCTAGAACTGCTCTCACCACACTGTTTTTCTCTTTTCTCTCAAATATTTGGGTTTTCTTTAATTGGAAGAAAATCAAAACAAATTGCTTCTCTATTTTGGGCCAAACTGAAGATAAAAGACCAGTCTCGACTCGTGAATGTCAATTACAGAATGAAAGATAATACAGAGCTGGGCCTGATCCTGAAATCTTCAATTGAAAAATTGAAGCCACATGCGAGTTTGGTGGCACCACAAATTCTTTCCCACGCAGGAAAATAACACAAAGCTGGGATTTACTGCACATAAAGCCTGCGTGTACCTAGAGGGCGAAAGCCTAAATCTCTGCGTTGTTCAATAATATACAAGCGCCTTTGACAAATCTCAATGCCCAATCCAAATCTGGATCATTTGTTCAGCTGCATGACGGTTAGACCATGAAGAGCGAGACAGGCTTGTTTGTTCGACGAGTGGGAGTGAAACCAAACGTACGTGAGGTAAAGTTACTTCATGAGAAACCGGAACGCTCTTTTCACGCTTTACACCTCTCGCTCCTTACGAGAACCCAAGGTTCACAAAAACACCTCCTACCCCAGTACCTAAACCTCACAAGGACGCGCTGACACAAAAGACGGCTACCGGCGCTCTGTGGCTTCAAACATCTCTCACTTTGAAGCAAACATCTTTGTTTTTCTCTCCTTTTCCCCACCGCAGGCAGTCGAGTACATCTTGAGATGGTGTATGATAGAACCACAAATAAACCCAACGGTCTACTTCATTCCCTGGCAATTGGCGCATAGCTGCAGTAATGCGAGATGAGGAGGCTTTGTTTTCACTGCGAGGGTGATGGGACACACTTAAGCCCCGATGCGAGATACTAAACATGCATCTAAGACGAGAGGAATTCGCTTTTGACTCCCAGACTCAACTCAAACTTGATCGTGCATGAACTCACAGTTTCAAAAGCATCGAAACACATGACCTTTGGGCCATACTCACCTCTGCTAATGCGACCCACACACATGTTGTCTGGTGACACAACTTCCTGTTTGACTGAAAAATAGTCTCCCTGCAGTGGATTGAGAGGTGCGTCTCGCAGAATAACGTTTGGATACTCGCTCTCGTATTTGAGTGACAGCAGGTCTTCTGAGCTAATGGGGTGAAGGGTCTGGTAAGACTCGGTTATGAAGCTCGGCTCCGAGTATTCGGAAGGAGGCACGCACTGAGGATGCTCAATGCCATAGTCTGGAGGAAAGGAAGATGAAGAGAAGATTTAAAAAGAAGAGTATTTACATTACCTTTTCCATATAATGACAGTTCATAGTGACCAAAGGCAGTCTGCACCAAGATTATTATGGTTAAAAACAAAACATTAACTAAAAGGGAACTAAAAATGTCCAACCTGCACCATAGTTGGCATGTTTGATTTGAGCTGCAGCGGAGGTGAAGATTTTCAGTGAATAACAACTTGAATTGAATGTAACTGATAGCATATTTGTTATCGACCAGTATTAGATTTTTTTGTATTGCAATTTTTTTTTTTTTTGCATTTAATTGTATTTAATTGTTTATACTCATTGCATAATGTTTAACATGTAACACTCACTTAAAGTTGATTTTTAAATTATTTGAAATGTGGAAATTTAAAAATATTGGCTAATATTAGCAAATACTGATACTAAAATGAGTGAATATAAAACTATTATAATGTTGTGATGCCTAAATTCACTTGTAGCATTGAAAACAACTGATTTTAGTTGTTAGTGTTTTATTTGAATAATTAATATCAGCCATTTTGTCCATAAAGAAGAAATTAAATATTGGTTTTAATATTGCTGATCTTCACACAAAATAACTCAAGTCATTTGAACCACTTTCATGCTGCTTTTAGATTATTTTCTTGCTTGACCATAACAACTCTTTCTGTATGGAAAAGTCCATGTGAATTTATTTTGTGAGTGTACGTAACACAATACATGTTTGAATGGCATAAGGCCAGGTTAATAATGGCAGAAATGTCATTTATGGATGAACTCTTCCTTTAAGGAAGGCATTAAGGAAGGTTTAACCTCCTCCACACACAGATCATTAGATCATCTCCCATTATAGTCATGGCAGAAGCGGGGAACGTGTTCTCAGGTTCTGTGATGACGCAAACTGAAAGAAATGGCAGATACTCACTGAAAAAGTAGTCTGAGGGGTAGCGGGATTCCTGGAAACTGGAGGTCAGACCATTGACAGGGAAATGCTTCGGGTCTTCTGTGTGAAGAAAACAACACACATCACTGAAACCATGCACACTTCGAAGCCCAAGCTGTTAAATAGCAATTGCGAGGCAATGCAACAGAAACTACTTTGATCTGAATGTCAGTGTGGCGTTTACTTTACAGGTTTTTCTAAATGTGACAACTCTCACATGCTTCCAGCATTTGACATGACACATCACAGCATAGATTAGAAAATCTACAATTTATACTTTTTCCTGAGGATGATTTACTGTACTGCTTAGCTTACTCTTGGTAATAGTCCCTTTATGAATAACATTACAACTCAAAATTCTGATTTTGCATTCTGAGTTTTGCAGAGACTCACACCTGTGACTGTACGTCTGTCGGATTACATATTAATGTGTCAAGTTGTTTGGCAACCAGAAACAGCCTACAGTCAGATTAATGAATGGTGTTAAAACAAATATCAAATATATGAAACCATTTTATTTCATATATATATAAAATTACATTTACACATTTATTTATTTTATTTATTTACACATGCATTATTAATATTATTTGATCAAATACAAATGTAAAATGTTATACTATTTTATAATATACAAAATAATATAACAATAAAAAAAGCATCATTTACTGCTTTTAAATTAATACACATAAATTAATTAATTATTAATTTAATATCAACATGATATTACTGTCTGAATCGAACACATATTGAAGACAGGGTTATTATCATCAACTAAAACCATAAAAAAATGCATTATTTGAAGCAAAATAACAATTAACTAAAATAAAATATTTCTATAAAAATACATTTTATTTCAGCTAGTTGCTCTTTTAAAACCTAAAACTTAAAAAAAACTATAAAGACCTGTATAAAAAAAAAAAAAAAATGACAAAAAAAATTACTAAGCCTTTAATAATAAAATGAAAACACAAAGAGTGTTTGATTGATACTAAAATAGCACAGATTGAAGCCTGGTGTCTGCAGATGTGGAGGCGGTGAGGATGTCTACCTTTCTGCAGCATCTCTAAATGCTCCCAGAGGATATCGCCCACGAAGTCAGGAGCCAGGTCCAGGAACCGCTCTTTCCCCAGGGCACAGAGATTGGCCCCGTCCATGCTGAACTTATGGAAGTCCACGTTCTTCAGACTGAACTCGTTTACCGTCCAGGTCAACCATTCTCTCACGTGGGCGTTTGTCCACTCGCGGGGGTCTAGAGTGGTGAAAGAGAAAAGACATCTCAGAGTTACATGCATATGCAGATTGCATCATATATTATATACTTATTGTTCATAATCGTCTACAGAAAGCATCTGTTAAGTAACTTTGCTCTATCTCAGAACTATAAACAATATTTGGTAACACTTTACAATAAGGTTAGTTAGTTAACATTAGTTAACATTAATAGCAAACTGCACGTATACAGCATTTTAATATAATATAGCATAATACTTTATTAAAAATCTTAATATTAGTTAATGCACTGTGAACTAATATGAACTAACAGCGGTATTTTTATTAACCAATGTTAACAAAGATTAACAAATACAGTAACAATTGGATTGCTCATGTTTAGTTCATGTTATATACATTGACTAATGTTAACTGACGAACCTCATTGTAAAGTGTTAACTAATATTCTCATGGGCTCATGGGAAATGGTCAGCTGACTTTGCTATAAATTTGATGCCACGATGGGAGGAACTGAAGCGCCTGTAATTTTAGCTTGCACACTAACTCTATCTCTATCTCTATCTCTGTCTGTCATTTCTCTCTATCAGCTATTTCAGGACAGACGCAGACCTAACACAGACTTCAGCCACCCTACACACAGCAAGCGAAGCCATCTTGCGGTCTGCCATAGTTTGGGAAGCATAATTCATAACCTCTGCTGCTTCAGAGTGCAATATGTCTATCTAGCAAGATCTCTTTTTAGGCAATCTGAAAAAAAAACAGCCTATAGTGCTACAGAATACTGGGCCAGACACGAGGAAAATACTTTGCTTTTCCATTTTTCCTCTATCTACTTTTCTCTCTATCTATCATTTATTTTCTCCTCCTATTAATCCGATAAATAACAACAAGTTGGAAAATGTCCAATGTCATTAACATAATCAGTGAGTTCTCAAATGTGTTTTTAACATGTCTTTTAAAAGGGAAAGTTCACTTAAAACATTACATTTCTGTCATTATTTACTCACCCTGATGGTTTTCCAAACCCGTATAATCTCCTTTTGTGTTCCATGGAAGAAAGAAAGTTATACACGTTGGGAACAGGGTGAGTAAATAATGACAGTACTTTCATTTTTAAGTGAACTTTCCCTTTAAGAGAGAGAGCAACAGAAATAAGATAAGAAAAAATGAATATAAGGTTTACTCTAAACAGTTAGAGAGTCTTTTTTTGATATAAGTGCTTTAGAGATTAGGACCTTTAGGGATGGAGAGTCGCTGTTGCTCCCTGGTGAAGCCACTGAATGTGGCCAGAAGAGCCTGTGACATCATTTCTTTACTTCCTGGAGTCAGTAAAGGAACATCCGCACACTCCAGATCTGTTGGACCAAACACAGACAAGATAGCTCATCACCCATCACACACACATTCTCAAATCAGATTAACTATACTACATTTCACAAACAAATAAATACAAAATAATACTAGAAAAAAATAAGCAAATTCAATAAACACAATAAAATATATAAAAAATAAAATAATAAATAAAAACAATAACATATATAAAATATTTAAATATAAAAATGTTAAATATAAAAATTAAAAAAAATATTAAAAAAATAAAAATAAAAAAATAAAATAAAATAAAATAAAAAATAAAATAAAATAAAATAAAATAAAATCCCAGCATCTCATATGTAAACGTCTGCAGCCTGAGCTCCAATTCCACAAAATCCCTATCCGGAGGTAATATAAATCAATCAGTGTACTGCAAGAGCTACATAATCAGAAGAAAACCAGCAGCCTCAGCATCACACAATTGACTGTAGTTGTCCTCCATGTCTGCTGGCCATATGCACACCATCCACCTCCAACCTGACCTCCTAGACTGCTTCTCAGAGCCAATGATGGTGTGCTAACACACAGAGTGTGCCACAGGTCAGATTCTACATCGATGATCACCTTCCCACAATCCCGTCAGCCCAGCAAGCTGTCCCATCTCCATGTCCAGCCATTGACAGAGGGGCCTGTGTTGGCAGGGGTCAATAGTTAGGGGTCAGAGGTCGTGGCAGAGGGTGATGATGTCACAGCAGGCTGCAGGGTGTCGAACAGACACGGCAGTGTTGGAAAGCTCGCCCTCTCTGCTCGTGGGCACCCAGCAGGACACAGAGAAGTCTTTGATGAGTTAAACAGTACCCGATGACTTCCACTGATCCAATTAGGACTGCCGGGGTGGCAGTTCGGGAGAAAGAAAGGGTTTAGAAAACCCCAAAAGTGTCTAAAGAATGCCATAGAGCCAAGCAAAGAATCCGCCGAAAGGACCGTTGTGCGATCAAAGACATGCTGGATGTACGGTGAGGGGTGATTATTCTATTACTGGTGGCCGTCAGAAAACGTCAGACTGTGACTCAGGCACAATGAATCCGTCTGGGAGCTAAATGCACAGTCCAGACTGTGGAGAGCGAACACTGTGTGTGTTTTTTTTCGCTGTCTGCGACTGCTTTTCTACTGACACCCAGATGTTCTGGCATCTCCGCGCGGTTTTTAAACTGCCAGCCCTGGGCGCCGTATGGGTTTGCACTCGCTGTTGTCGATCCACATCACGACATAACCCAGCCAAGAATGCACAACAGCTGTCCCTCCTAACCTCATTCCCTCTCCTTCTCGCGATCTGCTACCCTGGTTGACTCGAACAGGGAAGGATTTGCAGTGATACATTATGCAGAGTGTCTAAATGGAGAAAAACAATGTAGTGCTCTTGTGTGATTGGATTAGAGCGAGATGCTGCAGTCTCCATTTACAGTGTTTAATTGCGCATTAGAGCCATCTGGACGTCAGAGGCTTCATTCACTAGAGAAGAGGCCCATTTTCACATTAGGCGATACAAGGCCAGAACTGACAAAAAAGACAATGGTAAAGGAAACATGTTTTACTTGGACAACATATGACACAGCAGCTTAACAAAGTACAGGTTTTTATATTAATGACAAATGCAAAGTGCCTTGTGAACAATAAAAAAGTGATGTTTAGATGACAAAAATACAAGTGACAGCTCTTACAAGCTGTGTAGTAAAATAGAGGGTTTGAGCATGCTATGAAAATCAAATCAAGAGTTTATTTTTCTGTTAGTGTATAAATCTTTTGAATAAATTCAGTATAAATTCAGTAAAAAAACAAGAATTCACTTGGAAACAACCATGTATCTGCAAGGACACCTGAAACAAATGGATAGTGAGCTGTTTTCAAAGAAAAACTTTGATCTCCATCCTTTTCATCAACAGATCTCATCGGCATGCAGTTATCACTGAGAGAGCTGGAAGAACTATTCTGCAAACTCAAATTATCATTGACCAATCATGCTGAGGCAACAATCAAACATGCTCTGTTCACTTTTATATACTATTGGAAGTCAATATACTAATCATCCCGTTCTCATGGTTCATGCCAATACATGATTCACTGATTAAATATAAAATTAACTGATCAAATAAATGATGCACAGATTATTTTTAACCCTTGTGTCTTCTTTGTTGAAGGCAAATATTTAGTTAAATGTTCATTACATTGCTTTTGGATTTGTTTTTAGTTCATTTAGTTTGATTTGTAATCCATTTCAAGACTTAAATTCATATAAAGACATTGTTCACTTGAATACTTAAAATGTAGTAAACTTGTTTTACTTTTTGGCAACTTTCTTGACTATTTTAAATTGTGATATTATTCACTTCAGCTTTCCACATGATATCACAAGGCACTTTATTGGAGGAACCAACACTATTTTTCTATGAAGCAAATGAATACCTCAGCAGGTGAAGTTTAATGAATGAAATTATGATTATATCAATTTCCATAGACAGTAACTAAACATCGCCAATAGCTGTAAATGTGAATCCATGGTGATTCTTTCTACTGAACCATTGAACCTTCTTAACTTACAGTAAAAGTACAGGTGTGTATTATTGGGTGGTGGGGTTGAGTACAAATCCGCCTGTCTCAGCTGTGCATTAGAGGCCTGTGAAATTGTGATTATGGTCATGAGGCCCTGGTGGTCTCAAGGAGTTGGGTGGGGTTGGGTCGGATGATTCACTTATCTGTAATGTGAGAGCATCCAAGACAACATGAATGGAGTCCCCAAAGGGATGACATCACTGTTGGCATGACCACAGGGTCCCGCCCATCAACTCCATTCAGTGTTTTCCATAGTACATTCAGTGGTTTAATGACTTGCATACATCTAGCCAGGGCTGATCTTCAGCCTTACAGATCACACATTGATGATAGTCTTAATGGTTCGTACTAAAATTAGACACACTTCAAAGAATGTGTCTGCATTTATGTGTCTGTCCGGGGTCTGTCTTAAGTGTGTGAGAGACAACGAGTGGGTGTGTAATAAAAGCCAAATAGCTCATTTGAGTCCTTCAATTGTCTGGACGGTATTAAAGGTTCTGAATGTTTTTTGTGCTTTGTGTCTGTATGCCAAATTAGCATATTTCACCACACGTTTCTTACTTTCTGTTTCAATTCAGAGATGCATATGCCATCAAAGTCCAGTCTGGAAATAAGGTTGTTCGAGGGTGTAGAACAAAAAAAATATTTCAACCCGCAAAAAGTCAGGTTCTGGCCTTTGACAAATGTGTGTCTCAGCGGGGTGTCAGGGTGGGCCATAAAACACCTTCAGTTCTTTATCTCTAGCATTATCTTTCACGGAGTGTTAGACAGCAAGACTGTTAAACCTGGCCCGCATGAAGGAGGGCCATTCACACAGCAGGCCTGTACTGAACAAGGCACGGTCTGGGGTGGGGGATCCAGTGAGAGAAGTGCTTGTTCTGCCCACTGTTTAGATTTCCATCTGAAAGCATGCAGACCGGGCCGGGCCGAGACAGGAATAGCAGCGGCCCACGATCAAGCTCCCAAAGGCCACGCAGAGCCCGTCCACCCTGTCGAGGTCACGAGTCGGGGGCTTTCCCGCCCTGGAACACTGTGGCTATTCTTAGAGAGCCAGCCAGTGGGTGCCCCGGGTTCACTAGATGGTCTAACCCACTCACACACACACACATAAATACACAACACCACCATCAGTGGGTCACACACTGAGCATTCAAATCACAATGACCGACAGGAACCACTTTAAAATGGGCATTCTTCAACAAGTTCTTGCTTTAAACAATTAATTGTTAAGTCTGGTAGGGTTGAAACGGTACCACTACTGGTACCTATAGATCTGCTGCTGACAAGCCATAACTGTTTGCGCTACCACGACCTAGCTCTTATCAACTTCTTTTCCGTCTGCAATCATGCTTTTGAACTGTCCGCAACTGGCATGCGATGCATTACAGAGATACGTATAGCAATGCTACTATGCATACTGCAGAGTAAAGTGGAGGCAGTTTGCAGCATGCAAATAGAAAGAGCATAACTGCATTGCAGGAGTGAACACCTCGAAAAGACCATGAGAGCACATAGATCAGTGAATCATACTGTTTAGACTTCTGAACAAACAAATGATGATCTTGACAAACAGTTTACTTTCAGCGACATTCTTCCTAGAAACCTCCAATAACGTCCTCTAAGTGTACCTGAAATTGCAGCACTTCATGAGGGGGGAAAAAGGACAATTTTCCAGCACTGGATATAAATATGTCCAAAAGCATTTCTGATCAAAGTGAATTTATATAAGAGTAGTCAGTCATGCCTGAGCTAAGTTTATGAGCAAGCAGCTTTCAGTACTAGGGAAATGAAGGAAGGAAAGCTCTGCATGCAATTAGCAAGCTAATGGCTAATGTTGTCTGCTATTGTGGATCCAGCCAATGGCCAACAGATGCATTCTCGGTAAATGAATTCCCCAGAGACCGCATTGTTTTTATGTATCGCACCAAACATTCCTGCCTTGTTTTACAATCGCTAATGTGGATGGGATTTTTCTGTGAGCTTGTTCTGTATTTGTGACCTAAAAACCAATGTGCCTTTGAGTTCAGTTCTAAATGGACCAATTACACAATTAACTGTACGTAGAGTAAAGTACCACAGCTGCAACAATGAAAAGAGTTCACAAGCCCAAAATAGATGAATGGGAGGCTGGAAAAGAAGATGCAATGTTCTGAAATACACTGCAAACTGCAGAACACAACGGTGTGCTAAAGCATCATCAAAGCGACTAAAGTGACACATCTTTTCAGTGAAATTCTCTATGGTGACAAATGTCAACATCAAATGTGTCAGAAAGCAGAAGCAGTGAAGCAGAGTGGCATGACAAATTAAGTCTCAGCATCTTGTAACTGTGTAAGAAATAGCTAAATGCCTTAAACAGGTTCCATTTGCACACTCTCAGAAGTAAAAAAAAAAAAAAAAAAGTCAGACTAACCCTGCTATGTGGTTTTAT